ATGAAGTGAGAGGAAAGAGCTCCTGTCTCATGCCTGGAGGGGACAAGAGAGCCCAGGGTGGTGCATTGTCTTGGGGATTTATAGGCAGTTGAAGATTTTGGGGAATTGAGGGCTGAGGGTGTGGACTTGTACCACCTGCCCTGCCCTCAAGGTGGGCTGGGTTGTTGTCTGTTTGCTAGAGCTGTTTAGTTTACAGTGAAGTAATGGGTTATGCTGAGATGCCCTTGCGGAACACTCAAACATTCCAGGTGAAGTTGCTCCTGGCCTTTTGAGCTTTAAGTGATCTCACTGAAGATGTCTATATTCCTAGTCTAGTATCCTTACCCTAGAGAACTAGTGTGACCTTGACTTTGCATAATGCTGAACACAGAGTTTCAATAGGGACTTTACAATGCTACATTGCTTTGACTGTAAATATCCTGTCTTGCTTTTTTCCGGAGGCCCTCACCCTACTCCGACTACATCCACAGTTCCTATCTCAACAGTACAACACAGAGAAGACAAGTAGTGACTCTATAGCATCTTACTACACTGATGGACAGTGACTATAATGTAGTATGTGGTGGGGACTTGATAATGGGGGGAATCTAGTAATCATAATGTTGCTCATGTAATTGTACATTAATGATACCAAAATTAAAAAATAATAAATAAATAAAAATAAAGAACCCCAGCATCAACAACTCTGCCTAAAACCCTCTGATGATGTCCCATTTCACTCTGAGGACTTAAGCTTCCTCACTGCTTCAGGTCTCCACTCAAATGTCACTTTAATCTACAACCTTTCTCAGCCACCCGACAAGAATCCCCTTCCCTAACTGTGTCCTCCTTATTTTGTTTTCTTATTTTCCATGAGCCTTGTTATCTCCTAGAATATTATTATTTACTTGTTCCTGTGTCTTTTGGTCTCTTTGTTCCCAGACAAACGAATGCTTCATTAGAACTGGGACTTGACTTCTATTCTTTTCTGCTGGATCTCTGGTTCTGAGATTTGGGCATGGTACATAGAAGGCCCTCAACCAATACTTGTCGAGTGTATTCATGAATCTGCCTGCTACCTGCTACTTCTACCAACTGGCTGGCTCCTATGTACCCACACCTCTTAGAAAAGTCAGTGTCCCTCCCCAGGCCATCTGTCACCTCCACTTAAAATCTTTAGGCTCAACCAGCACCCCACCACACCCGCTCTCTCCCCTGGCCTGCCAGCCCTAGCTTCCTGCCTTGCTAATTTTAGCAGCACTTCCAGCTTCTGTAAGCAGCTTCCAGTAGTCCTGGATCCTGAGTTCAGAGTACAAAACAAAGACATGACAGGCCTTCCCAGTACCTACCTAGTTCAGCCACAGCGACTCCCCAGGGGGCCAGGAAAACCAGCAGTGGGAGCAGCTCCATCTTAGAGGTCCGTCTCATGGGAGCCATGGGATTCCGTCAGCGCTGTTGTTCACACAGCACAACAATAACTAGGTGTGTGGCCGCAGAGAGAACTTCCTGACCAGTTATGCTGTAATCCAAGGCCCAGCCTCCTCTGGCTTTTCCTCCTTTGCCCAGCAGGGTGTGAGCAGGGTTTGTGTGGGGAGATGGCACCCTCCAGGACTCTGGACTCTGAGATACAAGGCAGTACCTGTCCTTCCAGTTCCTCAGAGCATTCCAGCCCAGCCAGCCACTGAAATCCCCCCGGGCACTGGCTCAACCCCTCACTGAGAGGCAGATGCCACCCACTTGCAGAGTTTTTAATGTTGTCCCGCCCCAGCAGAACATTGAAACCTGTATAAAATGGCTGGCTTTGGCCATCAAAGGCACCTGACTGCTCGTTGGAGCTCGAGATGCTCAGCCACAAATGAACAAAGCCTGAGTCATCCGTTCATTCATGCTGGGAACCGCATCCCAGGGTCTAACCTTCAGACAGAAGGGAGGAGGTGACACATGCCTGCCAAACATAAACAGAAATAGAGACAATAGTGTAATGAACCCCCAGCACCTACCCTCCAGCTGCAGCAATTATGAACTTACAGGCAATCTTACTTGATCTGTACCTCCACCCCAACCCCACTGGATTTTTTCACAGCAAATTTCAGAGATCACATGGTTTGGCCCATAACTGCTTTAGTCTATATCTCTAGAAGATAAGGACTCTTTTTTTTCCTAACACAATAATACCATATCAGATCTTTAAAAAAAAGTAATTCCTTTCTATCACTCACTTTGCATTTGATTGGTCTGTCTCTTAATTTGTAGGCCTCTCCCCCACCCCTTTTTCCTTGTTCTTTGTCAAAGGAACCAGGTCATTTGTCTGTGATGTTCCCCACATACTGGAAGAAGTGGCTGACTGCTCTCATTTGACACGTTTCTCTGTCCTCCCTATTTCCTGCCAACTGGAAGTTAGATCTAGAGGTTCCATGACATTTTTGGCAAGAAGGCATCTCAGGTGGTCTTGTGTCCTTCCTGTTACCTTCACAAGGCATGTAATTGGTTATCCCACCAGCTCAATCTGATTATAAGTAGGAGTTAGCCAGCAGGGTACAGTGGGGCAGAGGGCACCCCAGGCAGAAGGAGCAGCCCCTGCTGAGTCAGAGGTGTTGAATCACCCCAGGGAGCTGTGCGGGATGATGCTGGGGCTCAGGACCCTGAGCCAGGGAAGCGGTGGGAACCGGCCGCTCAGGTGTTGAGCTGAGAGCTGCAAGGAGCCTTAGAAGGGTTTTCACTAGAGGAAAGATAAACCCAGTTAGCGCGTCAGGGAGACCGTCCTGGCTCTGCGGCAGATGGGCCTGGGGGGAGAGTGGCAAGGACGCTGGGCAGAGAAGTCCTGGTGAAAAGTGGTGAGGGTCTACACTAAGGAATTGGCAGCTAGTTATCTGGGCGGGGGGGGAGGGGTTCCCACAGACAACACCAAGCAATTCTTGAACACCAGCACAGTGTCTGAGAACTCAATTCTGATGCTATTGGCCCAGAGACAGCACCGGATTCCCCAGGTTAAGGGCTCCATCGTACAAGACTGCCCTCCACGCCCCACTCTAGACAACGGTCACAAGCCCCAGGCAGTTTCCTGTGCTTCTGACCAACCAGCTACAGACTGGAGGTTCCCACAGCCTCCCCCTTAGGCTGGATTAATTTGCTAGAGCTGCTCACAGAACTCACACACTGCCACACACACTCACACAACTACACACACAGACACACCCACACACACTCACAGACTCACATGCACTCACACTCACACATTGTCACACACTCACACACCTGCTCACACACTGTCACACACAATGACTCACTCATATACATACTCACACACTCACTCCACTCTCACACCTACCCTCTCACAAACACAGTCACACACTCACACACTTAGCTTTACCAGTTTAATAAAGGATACCATGAAGTATACAAGTTAACAGCCAAAGGAAGAGAGACATAGGGCAAGGTCCCAAATAGAGGAGCTTCTATCCTCGTGGAGCTTGGGGGCCTGGCTCGGTGGCACGTGGAGGCGTTCTGGTCCCCAAGAGCGGAAGTTCTCTCCAGCAGAGAAGGATCCGAGAGAGTGACTAGCTCTTCTCAGGGGTTTTTATGAGGGCTCCTTTCCATGTCATGATTGACTTATCATGGGCCACTGGCTGATCAACCTCCAGCCTTGGGTGGGGTCCAGAGTCTCTCATTAACATGACAAGATACTCATTTCACCTTTAAGGTGCTGAAGTACTTTCAGGAATCATGGATGAGGACTAAATATACCTGGGAAATATATATTTGGTCATCTGAATGACCAAATATGTATTTCTTATGAGTTATTATATCACAGGAGGAATTGAGTAGATTGTGGCTGGGAATTGGTTGAGATGCTCATTTCGTCTTGTATCTTTTAAAACCCGCCTAAGCAGGTAGCAAAATCCCTTCCCCTGAGTAGGATGCCACAGCTTCTGGAAGACACTGCCTCTGGACTTGGAGGACACTGTCCTCTGACCTCCCAGAATGGAGAGTGGAAGGGAGAATGCTGGGAGCCATACTACTCAAGCTGTGTAGCAAAGCTCAGGCTGGAGGAAGACCCCCCACAAATCAGGGGCCTTCGCCGCTGACTCTCCCTATTGCCCACCTTGATTTTGTTTTTCTCCATTATGCTATTGGTTTTGTTTTTTGCCTGCATTGTTGCTGAGGGTTAACTAACCTTTGCTGAGCAGTGTGGAGAGGATGAGAACTTAAGTTTCCCAGGAGCTTTTCAGGACAGTGCTCCTGAAGAATGGAACACGCGGGGGCCAGATAGTGATCTTGGCATAAAGTACCGAAACCTACTGTTAGTTAGTCAAACATTGACCACCCCATTTCCACTGAGAATGCCCCCCTTGTTTACAATGCTAGTGAAACTAGTGATGGAAAGTTTTCTAGAAATAGAGTTATGAGAGAATGTTAAATGGAATAACCCTGTTGACAATTAATCATCTCACGTTTTCTTCCCTCTACTACTTCTATAGTTTGTTTTTCTTCTTTCCTAATTACAGCCATTTACTAGAATTTGTGCCTTATATGTGAAATTATCAAATACCATAATTTTCCAGGAAGTAAAGATACCTCAAAACAAGTGCTGGGCATAGAAGCCATGGAGCATAAATCTGCAAAGAAGTGAAAAACTAACCTTTTCAAAGAATATTGCTTCTCTCTCACCAGCTTTACATCTCCCTTTATGGCCCCATAAGATGGCTGGTTAGCCAGAGACAGGTAAGATTCCTCAAGAGAGGAACAACCTAAGACAGGCACAGTCGCAGGGGGGCCATCAGGTGAGAAAATGGGTGTCAACAGAGGTAAGGCTTAGAACCTCGCCCCCCCCAGTTTTGAGAGAAATCTTCTACACCTGTGGATGTTTTGTTGCCCTTGTTCAGCTTGGATTAAGACCTGGTCTGTAGGCACAAACCTGATCATCTACACCTGCCTTCTTACAGTTCTAAATCATGCTTTCTATCTATATCTTGCATTTGCCTACTACATTGACATTTTATTAGATTCACATATAAAGTATAAAAATCAAATGAATAATCATACATTATATTTGATGTGATTGTTTATAGTTTAAGGTTTGTAGTTAAAACAGAAACAGTTTCTATGATATGAATGCCCTTACATTGTTCACCATGTAAGAACTTGTTTAGTCCCTGCAGTAGTGGAGTCATAGAAACCTGTGCAGCATATGTCAGAGAGATTTTGGTATCCACACAGATAAAGAGAAATGTAGATAAGAAGGGGAAATTTATTTTGCTGCCTACTGTGCCCTATAAAGGGGTATAAGGTAAAAATATGAGTTTATGATTTTAGATTGATTATAAATTTATTAAAGCCTCTAAGAATATTTTTGTGGGAAAGAATCCTAGCTAACTGTGGCACTAGGTGACCTGTATTTCACCCTGAGCTGATAGATTCCATAGTCGCTGCTACATACTGCACGTTCCTACGGTCACATGCACTACTTAGAAACTGCATTGCATAGAAACGGAAAACACAATAGAGTACATGTTGATAGGAAAAGTTTCGGTCAAAGAACAGAAAAACAATCACCTGTCTAACGCTTGACCAACCATGAATAGATTAGAAAGGAGAAGAAAGAAAAAAGCTTGCCTATACTTATTAATCAACTGCCTATACTGATTAATCATCAGAACAAATAAAAAATAATCATATCCTTGTGCAAAATGGTATAAATAAAGCTGTCATGGACACTTTGTCGAGAGACCACCTCCATCTGACTCTGTGTCCTGTCTCTCCATACGCCGACTCTGTCCTGCACCTTCGGGCATCCCACCCCTAGGCTGGAGCTGGACTCCCACAGGAGAAGGGAAGCACCTGGAAGAGAGGGGACGCTGGCCCAGCCAGGGCAGCAGACAGAGAATGCTGGGTTCCAAACACCTCCAGACTATCTCCAGGAGGGAACAGGTCTTCCGACTTAAAGTCACGAGACATTTACTTGGGTTCAGTAAATACTGATGTCTATGTCTAATGGATGTCTATTAGCTTCTGGGTCCTGGAATACAATGGTGAACGAATCAAAGCCTCTGCTCTCAGGGAGCTTACCTTCAGCAGAAGAGAAGGACATTACACAAATGAAACAACAAGGTTTGCAGCCTGGCAAAGCCCCAGGGGCAGAGTTGCCACAGAGCCTCCAAACTGTACAAACCTAGTCACAAACAACTGAAGGCCAAGGCCCAGCCTGGGCTCAGGGCCCTGGGCCGCCACAAGGGGAGGAGGGCATCCGAATAGCCAACAAGACTGAATTTTCTACCAGTGCAGAGGGAAGAGGGCTCAGAGACCCACTGCTATTGATTCAACAAAACAAGGCAGTGGGCTCTTCTCACAGCTGAGCCCGCGGCCTGATTCAAAACTGCTGGAAGGTCTCTAGGGCACATGGGGTACACTTGGCGGGTTACCCATGGGACTGGTGGGGAAGGGCAGCAGGCGAGGGGTCTAGGGGAGGCAGCTCCCTGAGGGCTGAGCAGGGAGTTGGCAATGATTAGGCTTGAAACTGGAACAAGAGGGAGAGCTCAGAGGGGGAACAGAAGCTCCTTATAAACCCATCT